ATTTAGCTTGGAAATTAAATATTTAAATTACACCTAAATATTTAGTTTACTAACTAAATATGTAACTTGCAAGTTAAGTATTTAGGTTGTAAACTAAATATTTAGCTTGTAAATTAAATATTTAGTTTGGTAATATGACATTTATAAATGTATCGTATGAAAAACATGGTGAAAATATGACTTTGAAAAAAAAAAACCTTTTTTTTTCTTATTAAAGGATAATTAAACCAAAATATTGCTGTTAATTTTTGACTGTGTAACTTTACAAATGGCGCCCCATAATTTCGAGTCCTGTGTTTTGTTCTCCCACTTGACGCCGACGTTTTCGTTTGGAAATCTCGACTTACAAAACGCGTTTCATGTTTTCTGTGAATCTGTGCTTGGTTGTCACCCCCTCTGCCACTGCCAGGCACAAACACGAGCACAGTTTTATTGAAGTGGTATAATTTTATGCAGAAAGGGCTTTTTGTGTATGATTTAAAAAAAAAAAAAAAAAAGCTGCCAGATTTAAAACGTTAAGTAAAAAGATCCCAAGTTGTTCAAAAGAAATCCAAGTACCTATTGATCCATTACCTGAAGAAACTTTGTGTCTTTGCTCCTGCAGCCTCCTGCTCTTTAATTTCACCCCCCCTGCTCTTATCGCCTGGACATCTCTCTAATCTCTCTATCTCCCCATCCTGACTGTGCCTCCCTCTGTCCACCTCACCTAATCTTCTCCTCCCCAGCCCTACGCCCCCCCCCATCTCATTATGTCCTCCTCTCTCTCTCATCCGTCGCCCCTGCAGTGCCCTAACTTTGAAACCAGACTTTTCTCCTCCTGCTTATCTTCAGTCGCTCATTTCTGTCCCTGCCTGGACCGAGTTTCATCATCTGTCTGTTTTCATGCTGCTTTAGTCTGATTGGCTTCTTTTTTTTTTTTGAAGGGTCGTATTGGATTTCTGACGTTAAGGTGTGGCATCAAAATGAGTAAACGAATCGTTAGGGTTTTTTTTAATGAATTTGCTAAGCTTAGAAGTTAAAAATAAACTCATTTACTGTGAGAAAACCACTGAAATAATTGTGCAGAATTACTGTAATTGCAGCGGCATCAGGTAATTTAGAAAGGTTAGAGCGACGGGAAAGGGGAGCAAATCTAAATCTAATTTAATTCAATTTCAATTCAGTTTGTTTCTATAGCACCAAGTCACAACAGAAGTCGTCTCAGGGCACTGAACAGAAACATTCATATATAAAAAATAATAAATTAACACTATTTATTTGAAGAGCAGACTGCTTTGAGTTTAACTCCATCACAGAACTCTCAACTTGAGCGAGCATGAAGGCGACAGTGGAAAGGAAACACTCCCTCATGAGGAAGAAACCTTTAGCAGAACCAGGCTCAGGACAAGCGGACCATCTGCTTCGACCGGCTGGGTTTGAGAGGAACAGATACACAATGGCAGGACAACAATCACAAGTTAAGATGGAAATAACATCAAATGAAAACTATTCAATTTTAGTAATTAATTTAAGGAAATGAGGTCAATTTGTCCTCTAGTAGTCTAAACCTATAGCAGCATAACAAGCCAACCCTAACTGTAGGATTAATCAAAAAGTAAAGTCTTAAAACTGGACAACGTGTCAGCCTCATGGACAGAAACTGGAAGCTGGTTCCACAAGAGAGGAGCCTGAGAACTGGAAGATCTTCCTCCCATTCTGCTTTTGGAAACTCTAGGAACCACGAGTAAGCCTGCAGTCTGAGAGCGAAGTGCTCTGTTGGGAAAATGTGGAACAAGATATCAAATATAAGATGGAGCTAGGTCGTTGAGAGCTTTGTAGGTTAGAAGTAAGATTTTGAATTCTATTCTGGATTTAACAGGGAGCCAGTGGAGAGAAGCTAAAACTGGAGAGATATGATCTCTCCCACTAACTCCAGTTAAGACTCTGGCAGCAGCATTTTGGGTAATGGATGCATGGATGAATTTGCTAAGCTTAGAAGTTTAAAATAAACTCCTTTATTGTGAGAAAACCACTGAAATAATTGTGCAGAATTACCGTAATTGCAGCGGCATCATGTAATTTAGAAAGGTTAGATTAACAGAAAATCTCAATCTAATTCCCAAACCTGTGTTCAGATTATGAACCTTTCAGGAGTGCTGAGCTGTTGGATCCTTGTAAACTGGTAGAAATGAACCATTTCAAGGAGCTTGGAGGGTAAAACTGTAGCATCTATTATGTCATCCACACTAAACTCAGCTACTGAGCAAACAATGGGTTAATTTAAAGTAACGTCAAAACAACGTTCATAAAAAAAAAAAAACGAGTTTCTGATTTTGGAAAAGTCGGAAAAAAATGTGCAAAATGACAAAACGGAAAGAAAAAGCTAAATGCGACAATTTGCACATCTCATAACTCGTACTATGTTCACAGTTGATCAAACACGGGGCATGAACTGAAAAAAATCTTCTAAGTTTTAGAAGAAAAAAATGTAATTTTGAATTTGAGGAAAGCAACAGATGCTTTGAAACTGTGAAACGTCCCCTCTTCTTTTAACAGTCAGTAAACCGAGGAGACCAGCTGATGGAGGATTTTTCCACTAAATCATTTCATTTGGTGAGAGCTCTGGACTGCAGGCAGACCAGTTCATCACCAGTACTTTTTCTCTAAAGCCATGTTGTTGTAATGGAGGCGACATTTGGTTTAGCCTTGTTTTGCTGCAGTCTTCCCTGAAAACGACGTCTTCATTGGAGCATATAACACCTGTATATACTTTTCTGCATTGATGGCTTCCAGATGTGTAAGCTGCCCATTCTCAAGGCACTAATGCACCCCCATATCATCAGCGAGGCAGGCGTTTGAACTGTATAGTATGGAGGACAGGTCGTCTGTGGTTTCCAAAAATAATTTCAAATTTTGAACCTTTGATCACAGAACAGTTTCTGCTCTCTCGCTCCACTTCAATGGGGCTTCGGTCCAGTAAAGATGCGAGCATTACTGGTGTTCACACGTGGTTGTTTTTAGTCACGATGGAGCGTAAAGTCCAAAAACATGCATGTTCAGGCGGTCTTAAAGCCGGGGCCTCTTGAAAAAGAGCTCAGCGATCTAAGCTCAGCAGCAGTTTTTGGACATCGTGGTGAACCGTGTTTACAGACGGTGATTTGTGGAAGTGTTCCTGAGCCCAGGCGATGATGCCCAGAACAGAACCAGGCTAGTTTTTAACGCCCCGAGGGCCTGAAGGTGACGAAGATCCAAAGCCTTGTCCTTTGAGCTCAGAGATTCTGGATCCTTCAAATCTTTTGAATATTTTATAAACTGTAGATGACGAGATATTCAGAGGCCTGAGTCTCTCAAACTCATTGCCAGTTAACCTAATTAGCTGCAAAATGTTTTTGCACTTGTTTTATAATTGCGTCACTAACTTCCCTTATTATTGCCGCCGTCTCAACTTTCTGAAGACGTGTTGCTGCCATGAAATTGAAAAGTCCTTTTAAAAATGGTACAAAGCCTTTCTTTAAACATTTCATAATGTTTACTATGTTCCATCATGAAGGATAAAATACGGGTTTATGAGATTTTCAAATCATCGCACCTCTTCTTTATTTACATTTTGCACAACGTCCCCAGATGTTTTGGCATTGGGATTGTAGTTATAGTAACCTATACCATCTGCCTTTATTTAAAACCTAGGTGAACTATTATTTGTGAAGTGGTAATGAAAATATATGTCTTAACATTTAACTAAGTGAAAGCATCCAGCTGCATTAAAAGAAAGGTCTGCTGCTTTCATGGTTTGGGACCTCGGCCTCACCGACCCTGACTGTTCATTAAAGCTTTACCTGAAATCAATAGGAGCGTTTAAACAAATAATTGAATCAGCATGTTTATTGATTCATATGCATCAAGTCAAAATAAAATCTTAGTGATGGAGGTTTTATTGGATTGCTTGATGTGGGACTGGGTGTTGTTTTAATTTGGGTTAATTAATACTCTATATAAGTTTGAGATGTTTTCCATCAGAAATCAACTGGTATCAAGAGTTTCAAGTGGAGGTCGTCTCAAAAATGCATTGCACCTGCAAATCAAAATGTTTGCGTGTCAACCGTGATGATGTTGTTGAGCACTGCTTAGGGAGCGACCGCAATATTCTGTATAGTCCCCGCTCCTGTTGAACGTGAAGGCAAAGCGATAATGTTTTTGCTTGTGGCTTCGTTCGTTTGTCCGTACTGTCTGCAAAATATCTCATCAACAACTGAAAGAGCTTTAATTATAACGTGCAGAAACGTGCTCATTTTGACGCACGTCAACCTAACTGGAGATATCCACTGCAGCCGACAGAAGAATGGCTGTAACGCAGACAGTTTTAGAGATTTTGAGCTAACATTTGGTGTGGTAGTAGCTGAGAGTCATTACCGACATGTCCTCCAAGCTGTCAGGGATCAAACGTGACATCGCGTGAGATTGCACATAGTTTTATTTCAAATAGAAGACGAGTCTAAACGTTCTGGAATAAAACGTGGCAGATCCTCAGGAAATGCTATCCTTTTTAGATTATGTTAAAACTTATTTGGCCAATACCGATATTTTTAATATGCGTTCCTTTGTCAGAACATGGTCTTCTTTCTTATTTAAGTTTATTTGCTACAAAAATTGTGTAACAGCTGTAAGAGCTGGTGACAAATATTCAGTAACCGCCATATGCATAGCACTTAAATGAAAAGTGTTAAATGTTATTTATTAGCATTAGTCACCTGCGATGCTGTCTCACTTGTGGAGGTTGTTCCAGGTTCCTATAGCTGCAGTGAGGGATCCTCTGCTCTCCTGTGCATGAAGGACAGACTTTTTAAGTTCAAAGTTTTTGTCGATCCATTGTGCTGTAAGACTAATCAAGCTAACGGGGCTAACACGACGTCCAAATGTCTGTAGTAAAACTCACCCAAGTGCTATCGGCTGTTAGCTTCGCAATGACGTCGGAAATGACGGCTTGTAACTCGGGTAAGGCTACGTTTGAGAAATATCTCTGACTGGGGACGATGTAGCGAGGCTCAACGTAGTCCATAAATTTTCAGAATCTGACATCCTCAACAAAAAAAAAAAAAAACATCCACATCGCCGACATTTTGACTTCTTCCTCTCCACCCTGATCAGATCAGGTAGGCGCGTGTGACATCATCACGTGCTGGTGCTGCAGGCGTCCCTGTCACTGGGTTGTCATACAAAAACAGCGTCTTTTATATCGGTGAGTTATTTTGATGGAGCGTCCGATATTGAACTTTAACGCTAACATCGTCCGATACATGCCGATAATGTCGTGCATCCCTAATCCTTTTATTTACAGGTTTAAATTATCACCTCCAAATGATTCTTCACTTCAGTCTCCTGCATGTTTTTCATGTGAACAGAACAGGATCACCTCCTCCTCTGTCCCTTACAGATCTTCCACTACACCGGCGGCGAGGCCTACGTCGACAACAAGGGCCCCTTCAGGGACCGGGTGGAGTTTGTGGGCAACCCGAGTCGCCGCGACGGCTCCATCCTGATCAAGAACCTGGACTTCAGCGACAACGGCACCTTCACCTGCGACGCCAAGAACCCCCCGGACATTGTGGGGCGTCCCTCCAGCGTCCGCCTGCTGGTGTTTGAGAAATGTGAGGGGTGGGGGTTCTTCACTCCAGTCTAATCCCTCCTGCTCTAATCCGTTATGTTTTATTGTCTATCAGATTACAAACGTTCTGGTTTTACTTTCTTCGTAGCATTCAAGCCACATTTTTCATTTAAGGTCTTTTTATTTTGCTTTTGCACCCCCCCACCCCCACTTTCCTCCACCCACAGTGCCCATCCAGGCAGGTGTGATCACGGGAGCGATCATCGGTGTGGTGCTGGGCCTGCTGGTGCTGATCGTGGTCATCTACTACCTGATGAGATTCCTGGTGGCCCGCCGTGTCTTCAGCCTGAACGTCAGGTCAGTGCCCAGCCTGGGGGGTCTCTGTCAGGGGCTGGAGCTGAAGCCGGAGCCCATTCCTGGCACCGACACCTGCGTGGCCAAGCTGACGTAGATTTATCTCCCATCAGTTGGGTTTAGATTTGAACTTGAAAGAGACGACGATTCTCTCATTTGAGTTTAGGCTTTTTCAGAAATAAAAGTGTTGACGTAACGGCTGCTCGGTGGATAATCTGGTGGATCCATCATCACGCTCTCGTACTTTTTCTAATCTGAACACATCTGGCCCCTTGGGGCGGTGTTTGAGACAGACCAGTAGATTAAGGTGATGCTCTCTTTATGATAGCTAGCAGGCAGTGCTGCCCTGTGACCACTGGAGGGAGAGATGGATTCGACATCCTGACGTTGTCTTTCTTTTGTCCCCTTCAGCAAACATGGCAAGAAAAAGAAAGAGGGATCACAGCAGAGACAGGCAAGTTCCTTCCTCTTCTCCTCTTAACCCTCCTCCCTCCCTCACTCCTTCCATCCTCCTCCCCCTTTCCAACCAGTCAACAACAAATGCAACAGATACATTTTCTGTCATCAAGACATTTCAAAGTACGACGACGTCCCTTCAGGAGAGATTACAGTAAAACATTCATCGACTGTCCGGAGGATTTGGGACCGAGAACCCTCATGTCTCTTCGGAAACAGCTTCACAGTGTTACACATCTAACATGACAGCGCACAACATCACAGCTTCATAATCGCATTCCCCCCAATGCCAGTTGAGGCGGCTCCAACGTGCCCTCAGACTCGGCCCCGACTCCTCCTTCCAACAACATATCAACAACAAAATAACATGCCATTTAAACGTAGCCCCCTCCAGCTCTAATGACAGTGTTCAAGCTGTTCAGAATCGTCGTGCTTGTCTCAGCGTTGCTTTAAAGCCGTCCCACCTCTCCATCCTCTTTCATTCCCCTTTGTGTAAGGGGGGGGGGGGGGCAAACATTGCAGTTCCAGTAAACAGCCGAGGGGCAAAAGCAAATCAAAGCTGTGAAGTGGCCGAGGTGGGGTTACGGGCACTAATGCCACCGCTGCAGCCTGAACGAGGCTGTGATTTGCTCACAGAGGGGACGCACACTGGAGCTGCTGATTTTGCTCACTGGGAGTCGAATAAAAATCTCTGGGCCTATTATGGTTCGGGCTGTTATCAGTGCTTTTTTGCGCCGCTGCGCGCCGGCGATTTAGAATTTTTGTCCCTTTCTGCTCCTCATGGGAGCGCGATCGCCTCAAGAGGTGGATTAATCATACGTTTTATTTATTTATTTTTTTTAGCTTGTATGCTTTTTGTGAAAACAAGCCACCAGGGCAAGTTGTGTTTGATCACTCGGTGGTGATGTGTGGGCTGCAGGGTTGTATTGTAATCGAATGGAAGCCTCATGACGAGAGGAAAAAAGGGACAGAAGGGGGAGGAAGTTTGGGGATTTGAGTCCAAGGTGTTTCTCTCAATTAAAACTAAAGCTTTGAAATGATATCTGAGACGAGGAATCAAAGGTGATGATGTGACAGTTTGTCTTTTAGCTGCAGGTAGGCCGAGGCATGCGGTATGGCAAGCTGTTGTATTATATAATCAAAGCACTCATTATTTTAATTACATATGTTTAGATGTCGGTGATAGCGTTCGTACTTATTATAAATTAAATAAAAGATATTCAGAATAACATTCCCACAAAATTTTTATATTACACAAAAGTTTTAAGGAGTACTTCAGATTTTTTTTGAAGAAAAGGTGAAAAGAACATTTTACCTGTCATGTACAGCTCTTTGAACAGCCTCTGTCTGAAGAAAGAGTTTATTTCTGACTGACTGATGAGCTAATCTAAGAAGAGCCTAAATTAAAGTGGATTTCTGCTATTTTAAAATAATGCCAATCTCCAAAACTTCATTCTAGTTCACGGGAATTTTATTTTATAATCCATTTATATACATATCGATGTATTTTGCAATACAGTAGTCCCTCTTTTTTCGCTGTGGTACCCTGAAGCCGTGCGATAAGTGAAAAACTGCCAAGTAGGAATAGTAGTACAAGTAGTAAGTAGTAGTTTATTTTAGCATACATATATACGTGTGTGTGTGTGTGTGTGTATAGGACTGATCCTTGCAATATTCTAAACAATGTTTCTAAACTCTAAACGCTCTAAAAGAGCACAGAATGTCATGATTTCAGCTCCCTGCCTCCTCTGCTCTCAGCCACCTGCAAGTGCTCTTGGCCACGCCCACTTCTCCGCTCTGCTCAGAGAACAGCTGATCAGCTGCAGCCGGAAGTGTGTCTTGCAGTGTGGACTGCACAAATGTGCAGGAGGTGCTAAATTTTTTTAAATAATTCATTTTAAATAAAATTCCATGCCGATCGCGCGGCTCATCCATCAATCAGCCAATTGTGTGTCATGTCCAATCTTATTTTGAAAAACCGCGATAGAGCGAGTCCGCGATAAACGAACCGCGAAGTAGCGAGGGACTACTGTACATGAGTAAAGTTACTCATTTCAAACTATGAAATCCAACACAATTTTTTTAAAATCCTAATCTACAGTGGTGTTTAAATGTTTGTGAACACTTTAGAATTTTCTATATTTCTGCAAAAATATGAACTAAAACATCATCAGACTTTCACAAAGTCCTAAAAGTAGATTAAGAGAACCCAGTTAAACAAATGAGACAACAATATTATACTTGGTCATTTATTTATTGAGGAAAATGACCCAATATTACATATTTGTGAATGGCAAAAGTGTGTAATATTGGATCATTTTCCCCCGTTTACATGAGAATCACAAAGATTACAAAAGTAATTACATTTATTGAAATAAATGGAAGGAAAAAAGGCGTTAATGGTCTTAGAAACATATTAAGCTCTATATATTATTCAGTTTTATGTTCATCCAACAGTCCCATGGCCTTGATCCCCACATCTGGTTTGGATGATGAGGAAAATGTGCATTTATCACAACTGACCTCATTATTGTAAAATTAATCAAGATGACTGCATGTTTTTTTCTAATATTGTGCAGAGTTAGTATCTAAAACGTCCATTATTTAAAGAACAAATATAATTCTGGACAGGGGACGTGTTTACTTAATGAATGCCTTATTTATATGTGTGCTCTGCCTGAGTATTATATGACACATTGGCTTGCCATAAAGCGCGTGCCTTCCTGCAGCAGTGGTTTGAACTGAGGGTCCAACTCCTTCCTCCTGCCTTAAACAGGTTCACTCATCTCCCCGGAGCACCTCTTTCTCGCCCTGTCTTCTTCTCTCCTTTCTACTGTCGTGTGATTGTCAGGTTTTTCTTGAGCTGCTCTCAAGTGCCTGCAGCGTGTGACAGCGCATATATGAATAAATAACTCGCCGCCAAGAGGACACTGGGATATTTGACAACGCTGTCATTTACAGTTACTATCCTGCAAGTCTCTGCTCGAATGACAAATATAGAGCAAAAGCAGATATTCTAGCTGAGCCCTCACTGCTTTATAGTTTATTTTATTTATTTATTTATGTTCCCCCTCTGAGCTTCATTCCTTTCTTGTAGCTGCTACACACACACACACACACACACACACACACACACACAGAGAGAGAGAGAGGACCCTTTTGGATTTCACGGTATGCTTATAAGTGGTTGTTTGATCAAATAGCTCTTATTAGGAGGCACTGCTGACTCTTTTTAATTATCGGGGGTGTTGTTTTAAATCAGCCCGGCCGTCTTTGTCTCAGCTCGCACTACAAATCTCCGAAAGGCTGTGGGTGAGGAAGTGAAAGAGGGCGAGTGAAGCCCTGTGGTGTTTGCTATACTCCCCATTAGGTGGAGTTGTGGAAAAAGATTTCACCCCTGCAGCCTCGCATAAAAAAAAAAAAGTTCACTGGAATGAGACCCCCCCCCCCCCCACACACACATGCACTGTACTGGAATGATAATTGAGTGCACTTGGTATCGATCTGAGCTCTCTCTCACACACGCTACCCACAAATTCTTCTCCCCCTCCCTCCGACTGCCTCCCACTTCAGTTTACTCCCACCCGCACTCTCTTTCACTGATTCAGATTCCTTTTCATCCTGTCTCCCCCCTCCTCCTCCTCCTCCTGCCTCTCCATCCCTTTGGCTTCCTTGCTGACCATGGGAAGCATCCATCTATCTGTAGGCTAATCGATTATTATCGATACCATCATTGATATTGCAAAGTATCGAACCGGTGCGATGGGATCAATACTTTAATTTTTCTCTCTTTCACTTTCAGTAGTTGGTCCCACGCCAGGTGTTCTATTCTAATGAAAACAAAACTCAAGCTGGATGTAAACTCTGAAACATTCATGTGAATCAACTTGTTTTTGTAAATTCAGTAATATTTGTGTGAATGCTGATTCAGCGATTTTGAAGGTTTTTGCTTCGTCTTGATAACATTTTTCTCTTTTTCTTCCGTCTAGCCTTTTTCCTTTTCTAGTTAGCGTTTAGCTACTTTTAGCTTTTGGCTCGCATTTCTGCTTTTTTTTTGCTAATAGTCTGCTATTGTGCTACTTCTAGCTTTTGGCTAGTATTTTGTTCCTTTTAGCTGACATTTTAGTCCATTAAGGTTTTAGCTTCTGTTTTGCTTTTTTACGGTTTAGCTAGTGTTTTACTACTATTACCTAGCACTTTGCTGTTTTATGAAATTGTTTTAAAGCATTATGTAATCTTTAGATTTATTATTTTTAGCTTCTAGCTAGTTCTTTGTCAACTATTTTCAGCTTCATTTAGCTTTTAGCTAGCATTTTGTTACTTTAACTAGCATTTTGCCCCGTTTAGCTTGTATTCTGCTTGTTTTACCTTAACTTTATCACATTTCACTAATCTTTCAGCTTTCAGCATTCACACCACACAATTTTTTTTTAGCTTATTATTATCATTATTATTATTATTATTATTATTGACTTAGCTTAAATTCATCCCTTGGGTGTCAGTAATTTAACAGTCGTGTTTACATTTAGTGGACTGATGATGAAACACGACACACGGCTCGTCCCTACATGAAACTGTATCAGCTGCTTTTACAGAGGAAGGTATCGGATCGGGCTGATATCGGCGGTACTGACCCAGTGTTTATTTGGGATTGGATCGATACGACGTTTTGCTGTGTTGCACAGCACCACTAATCACCACCCCTTCCCAGTACCACTCTGACTCCCCCCTCAGTTCCCTCCATCATCTTCTCCAGCTTCCCTCTCTAGGTCCTCGGGGTTCTGATCAGCTTTTGGTTCCGGACAGAAAATCACTACCTCTCACTCCTCATCTACCTCTCAATCTCCCCGCCCCACCTCACCTGTCACCTCTTCAGTATGCAGCAGGGGGTGCAGACACTTGCTTACCGACTACCTTCCTGACAGCCGTCCCCCATCACCCCCCACTGTACTCTTTGAAGTGCGTGCAGCTCCTGTAACCAAGGTGGCTCTGCAGTCT